GGTGACCACAGGCCTTCCTATCTTAGAAGAGGGGCAGGGTAAGAAGTCTCCGGAATGAAAAGCGGGTCTTAGATCCTGGTAGACAGCTAGTCATGGCTGACATGTTTAGGGTTCCTTGGCTTTCCTTGCTTAGTTGTTCATTCTCCCCTCGTTTTAGTTCTTTGGGAAAATCTCGGGCTGTGTCATGTAGAGGCGCCAGGCCCAGTGCAGCCAGGGCGTGTGCTGTGGGGCAGCGTCCCCCGAGGGCCAGGAAGGGACTGAGTGAGACTCGGGACTCAGAACTGGACTCAGAACTGAGCTGAAATCCAGGCCCTCGCTCCTACGGTGTCCGTCTGCTCAAGTCCCATAACCGCATTTGTTTGAGCACAGACACAGTGCTGTTGGCCTTCTAGAAGGAAGCCCACCCCAGCTGCCCCTGCCTCCCTTCAGGACTGTCCCAGAAGCCCGGCTCCAGGGGCGCTGCTGCGCCTCTCCTTCCGCTCAAACCGCCGTCTACAGAGAAGCCCAACCCAAAGACCTGTGAGGACTTTGTCTTTCTTACCAGAGCCTTCCCTGACCAACCCAAGGGCGGCTATCCTTTGATGACAGCATGCGTTCAATGACTGCGTCAAGACTGCCCTCCTGGATGGCATCCTACGCTTCCCCACGGTGCTCCTGGCACCCAGCGCAGGCCTGGTATACAGTCGGTGCTCAATAAATGATGGCTGGGTGAATGCATGGAGGGCAGAATACATGCACGATGGGAAAAATGAACTAATAGCTTTCTTCCCGGATCAATTTGCAAAGATGCTGTATGTGGAAGGCTGGCCTCCAGGTCTCCTGTGCACGGAAGTGTTGATGGAAGAGGGAACCGCGGGCTCTGACTCAGGACCTGGCTCCCACAGGCTCCCTGCCGGCCTCGGCCAGGGCCTAGGGGAACAGAGACTTGGGCTGGAGTTCATATTTCTGCACGCTATCAAACTTCTGGGAAATGATGACAGCAAGTGGGAAAATGTGGAGCAGTGGACATGTACAATGTATTCTTCCCATCTATCTAATTATCATCTATCCACCCCCCCCACCCACACCTGGCTACCTGGCTACACTGGTCTCTAAAGTTGTCTCAGGTCATTTGTCAGCCACCCAGTGTTTCTCATGGTTTTTTCCCTCCTGAGAGCAGATCCAGGAAAGGCTGGTCACCCAACAGCCATAGGACAGACCTCAGCTAACCTGCCTGTTGGTGGGCGTTGCTCAGATGCCAGTTACAGAGAGAAAGCGTCTTGTGCTGAGTGTCAGGAACCGGGTTTGCGTCCCAGCTGGCTGACCCTGAACAAGTCCTTCCTCCCTGCAGGTGGTTTCCCCAGCAGCTAAGGAGGGGGTTCTGCCCCGTTTCCCTCCTCTCACCTCCCCAATATCCCTCTGGGACTCAAGTTTGCCTTCCCTGAGGTCTAGATTGCTACCGCAGGCAGCCGCCGGGAGGCCCACAGCCGGCTGGGAGCAGCGGCGAGAGGAGAGAGGGATGAAGGGCAGGTTTTCCTAAAGATGAGAAGTCTGACTGCAAGGATGTTTGTCAAGTTCCCTTGATGGTCTCTTAGAAGCCCTGGAGCTTCCGGAAACCACTCAACTGGTGATGAGAATTCTCTTTAGGCCTGAGAATAGCGGAGGCAGGAGGCAAGGATGGGGAACCACTGCCGTCCTCGTCTGTTAGACAGAAATGGGGTTCCTCCTGCCCACGGGCTTTCCTTGGGCCTCTGGGGCCTCACAAAGCTGCTTGCTACAGAGAATATCTAGTCCAAGCTGGGAGCAGTAGTGATTTTGATGAGAAAGTAAAGTGCTTGGGCCATGCTCCTAACTGGCCCCTAATGTGGGCTGTGGGCTCTGATATCATGAGAGGGCCCTGGTCAGCTCGCCCCAGCCCACCCCAGGCCACCAGGAGGCGGTGACCGGCCCACAGCCTTGGCGGCTGCCTAGCTGAGCACGGGGCTGAGATTAAGCTCTGGGTTTCGCTCGTCTGTCCGGAAGCCTCGGAGGCCCCCTCTGTAGCCTGGGTCCACATATTTCAAAGCCATTTTCTGTGAAACAGCTTTTCTCCTCCTGTGTTCGCTATTGCATCTCAATGCTAGAAGAAAAATGGCACATGACACATCCAGACACAAATGGACATTTCCACACACATCTTGGGAAACCACATCGAGAAATGGCGTCTTTCTCCGAGCACTTACGCCAGCTGCACCCCCAGCCCCACCCACTGCCCAGGAGCCTGTGCCGCCCGGAGCAGCCTCCTTTGCAGGCCCAAGCTGGTCAGTGTGGTCAGTAACATTTGGACACATTTTTCGAAGCATGTAGTAACAAAATGAGTATTTTTTTGGTTTGTTTTTTTGTTTGTTTTTGCATTTGAACAACAACAGAAATAAAGCCCCAAAGCAAATAAAGTTTGAAATGTGATGTGAATCCTGGTCCTGGGACCGTGCGAGAGTGACCATGTCTCTCAGGAAACGGTGCAAATGCCCTTTCCAAGCAGTTTGGGGTGAGGGTGAGCAGGGATGCATCGGACCAGAGGTGACAGCAATGAGGTAGCACCCAAGCTGGTTGCCTTTTGACCCCTTGAGGTGCTTTTAGATAGAAACTTTGTAAAAGCACAGTTTGGGAATTTTAAAAGGACTTAGACAATCTTCTTAACTTTGAGTCAAAAAAAAAGCAAAAAAACACAACAAAAATGTTATTTGTAGCACGGTCTTTTCAGAGCTCGTGGTGCCCCCAAGCCAGAAAGAATGGAGAAATTCCCTCTAAGGCAAAGCAACCAGATCCTTGGACACCAGCCAGGCCGCTAGCACCCGGCCATCCACTCACTGGGCGGAAGAATCTAGATGGGATGGTTGGAGCGGGAGAATGTGTAAAAATGGCCATGCAGAGAAAAAGGAAAAGGAAGCAGGCGTTTCCTGTCCCCACTGGATCTGCCGGACAGGCATGCAGGAGGAACTGGGAGAGGACTTTGACAGTGTGCTAATTATGCAGCCGTTTCGACAGGCATCCGCATAATCCCATCTTGTAGAGACGCTCCAAACTGCCTGAGGACATTTGTGTTCCAGGACATGGTCACTCTGGTCTCATCAGCAAATAAACATGGATGCAACTCGGCAATGAAAAATATGTCACCATGATGGCCGTCGAGCTCGAACGACAGAAACGAAGGACGGAGATCTACACATCTACTTAGCTCTTGACTTCAGGTTTTAAAAATTCAGAGTTAACAAAGGAAAATCCTTCGAATTCTGACTGGTCAATATTCCTGATGACTTCCTGGTCAGGAGGTGTGAGGACGGGTGGATGGCGGGTGAAAAACCGGTCGAAGTTCTCAGCGTTGCGCCCACACTATGAGAGGGGAAGAAAAGAACTTGAGGTGGGTGGACACAACACAAAGCAGAAAAAAACAAAACTGGGTATGGGTCTCTCCATCCCTTCCCTTTCACCACCTCTTTTCAATGACCAGCCATGAGAGCAACAGAAAACGCAGAATTCTCATGACCTTCAGGAATGCCCTTGGGCTCCTGACCTTCGGTTTCTGTAGCTCTGAGCTGCCGCGGAGTCCCCCGGGCAGTCAGGAGCTGTGTGGCAGAAGCGTGAGATGGTGGGGCTGCAGGCACGTGCCATGTTTCTCACCCCTCCACCCCCCGAGCCAGCCAGGCTCATCTGCTGAAGGAGATGAATCCAGGCACCGGAGATGTTTCATGTGGCGAAGGATGCGAAGTCACGGCCGGCTTATACGTCACCTGGGAGATCTCAGCATTAAGCAGCAGGTCCCTCACTGTGCTGGCAGAGGCTCTCAGTCAGGGACCACGGACATTTCCTAGCCCAGCAGGCACCGGAGTTTACCAGCTCCAGTCAACAGAGAACAACCCCAAGACCTGGGTGTGGTGGCCCCCGTGCCTGGCCCCCACAGGGGGGGTGGGGCGGAGCTGGTCCTGGATAAGCTATCGGCCTTAATCTCCTGGTGTCGGAGTAGCAGCCATCTCTCTCGATCAGGAGGGAGGATGTGGGGAGGAATGCAGACCAGAGCTTGGTGAGACTCTAGAGAGAAAACCATCGCCATTTCCCACCCACCCCGCGGTCCTTCCATGTGAAAAAGTCCCAGTCTGAGGCAGTTATAACCCATGTGTGTGCATGTATAACACATGCACATGCTAGTTCCCATCTAATGAGAAGGGAAAAGTCACTAAATCTGAAGTTGTTTGTTCTTCAGCAACAAAGCCCCCTGAGTCAAGCCCAGGGTAGCCCCCGCCGAGTAACACAGTGGTGGGAGTCGCTGAATTATGACAGCTAACACTCGCTGCACCCTTACTACATGCCAGGACCTGGAACTCTCTTACATGCGTGATCTCATTTAACCTCCAATGACGCTGTGAAGCGGGGTTGACATCCTGCTACGGGACAGATGAGGACACAGAGGAGAGCTGACATGCGGCCCGGTCTGCCTGGAGTCAGAGCCCAAGCTTCCGGCTCCATTTTACAAGAACGGCTGGCAGGTTGGTAAGTTGCTGAATGGGGGGGTGGGGGGTGGGCGGGCGGGGGGAGGGAGGAGAAGTCAGGTGAGGATGATGAGGTCTCTGGTTTGAATGACAAAGAAAGGAGGGCTCAGAAGGAGGACTATTTCTGTGTGGGGACCAGTGAGATTCTGGGAGACGATGAGGGGGTGGAAGCACAGGTGCTGGATGGCAGGAGAGAGGCCTTAGAAAAAAATGTTTCAAAGACAGAACATGGAGGGCTCGAAAGAGGTCATCGTAATAGGAATAAAACCCCCTGAGCAGTTCCCAGGCCACAGACCACTGGCATTGCTCGGCGCTCTCCTCACATTGCCTCTCCGTGCACATCCCGCCCTGTGGTTAGGTATTTGGTTCGCACGGGTCCATGAGAAAACTGCCCCTAACACTTAGGGCGGTAGGAGCAGAACCAGGAGAACACCAGACGGGCTGGGGATGAGAGGAATAAAAAGAAAGGGCACTGTTGTGGTAGGAACTTCTCCGAGAGCCGAGCAGGAAGGCCCTGGCACGGCCACTGCACCTGGCAGCGGGAGGAGATGCCGGCTGCTGCCCACCTCGCTGGAAAAGAAGGGAGCTGAAAAGGCACGGAGAGCACGCTCCTCTTTCAAGCTCTGCAGTCGGAGCAGAGGTATCAGGTGCGGGTGCAGGGGACTTAGCGCTCAGATCCCTCGGCCAAGGCTTCATCGGGTTCGGGAAGAAGGAAGCCCATGAAGACATGTGTTCGAATCCAGGCATCGCGCCACTAGCTGTGCAGCTCCAGGCACGTTCTTTAAAGTGAACCAGACCATCTCATTCCTCCCCCAGGGGTGTGAGCGCGGTAACAGGAGACGGTGCGCGTGCCTGGTACAGTGCCTGGCACCCAGCAAGGGCCCTGCACACCCTCGCCGTGAGCGTCACCGAGCTTATCTTCTTGCCCTCACTACAGACCCCTCCAGGTAGCACGCGCCCTGCAACGGGCGTTCCCAGGACGGTGAGGTTGTAAGAACTGAGGAAACAGCCTTCATTTCCAAAAGGCTTGCGTCAGACAGAGAAAGATCTGTGTTATCCCAAGCTAATTGCTTCAGTTTTTTCGTATCTTGGCTTCAGTCCTCAGAAAATGAGAAGTGACCGCCCCCGCCCCCCCCACACACACCTGACCATACGATCAAGACTCGGATCTAAGGGATGGTGTACTGGCCGGTGGGGGAAACGCCAACACAAAGATGGGCCCTCGGGGTCAGTACAGTGTGGGCAGGACTACTGTCCAGATTCTTTCTTCATTCATTTTCTGTCAAGAAATATTTATTGAGTATCTACTATGTGCTGATCATAAATGATACAAAATCCATGCCTTGTGGATCTTACATACTACTGCAGGGCGGGGGGGGGGGGCGGGCAACAAACAAATAAATAAATACATACTTGTAAATGTAAATATATGTTTTAATGCTAGAAAGAGGTAAGTGATACTAAGAAAAATAAAGCCAGGCCCGAGATGAAGAGTGAAGATAATGCCATTTCGACAAGGCGGTCAGCTCTGAGGGCATGAGCTGTGCACGAGCCTCAGTGAAGTGAGGGAGGGGTTCCCTGGACGTCTGGAGGAAAAGCACTCCAGGCAGAAGGAACTGCAGGTGCAAAGGCCCGGAGGCAGTTCGCATGGCAAAGCCACCAACAGCAAGGGGGCCAGCGTGGCCAGACCAGGGGCCCAGGGAGAGAGGGTCAGAGAGGGCGCCGGGAGCCAGGCCACCGACCTCGCCGGCCACGTGGACAGAGGGTTTTCACGCCGCTGGAGAACCCTGAGCGCTGCCCGCAGGGCCGGGCAGTGGCGGGACAGTGAGGCCAGTGAGGAGGCATGCGATGCGGAGGCTGGAGGCAGGTGGTAGTGGGGTGCGGGAAGGTGCATGTGGTTTGGGGAGTGCTTTGAACTTGGAGTTCACAAGGCCTGTGATGGGTTGGATGTGGGTGAGAGCGAGAGAGGACTGATTAGTGGCCCCAAGGCTTTTGGCCAGAGCTATTTGGTGAGTGGGGCACACGACGGGCAGAGCGTAGTTGCGGGGGGATCGAGCATCAGTTTCATTAAGGTAAAGTCTGCGAGTCCCGTGGACATGTGACAGAGCGAGTGGGAGTCCCCAGCTGCCATCGGGGCCTGCAGAGGAGCAGGAGCGGGGCTGATGGCAGAGGCGCGGAGGCAGGAACGGCTGCTATCGTCCCCAGGAGAGAGGTGGTGGCAAGAGTGGTGGGAAGGGGTGGGGCAGAGGGGACGAGGTGCCCACAGGGATGCAGGGGAGAGATGGCAAGTTGTAAGGCAGATAGACCTGCAGGTGTTTCTCTTGGCCTGAGTGTTGGGATCCACACCAGCCAGTCTAGGAAGCATGTTAACTGAGACACAGAGTCTTCAGGGGCCATTTTTTTTTTAAAAAAAACACCCATACATTTCCCATCGAGAGCAGAAGGCTGCTTTGCTGGGGCCCCACCAGAGGCTGTAATGGGAAACAGAAAACAGCTCCTGGCAGCTGGGCAGCCTCCTCGCCATCGCTGCCCGCGGCCTCCGAGAGCAATGCCATCTTTTAAGGGAGGCAGCAGGGAAGAGAGGCAAGGACGGGGCAAGCACGGGGGCACCATACAGAGAGCGTGACGTCCCTGCTGATACGCGACTCGCGGGGCTGGCCGATCACAGCCTCCCTAAGTGTTGCCGTGGTTTTCAAGCGGAGCTGTCACTGACTGTTAGCTTCAGGAGCTCCTAAATGGAGACGGCACCCTCGGGAGGTGCAGCCGATCGCTCTGTGCCTGCTGCGTCCGGGAGAACGGCAGCTCCGTGCTGGGGCCCAGCACAGACGCAATGTGGGCCACACCTGCTTCCTGTTCCTGGGCGGTACTCCATCCTCGCTGCGCTCCCCAAAGAAACCCCAGCCCCCCAGACACCCAGAGGCACCGCTGGGGCTCCTGGAGCAGCGATGGGGCCACACCAAGCAGGTTACGTAAACAGATGGCGCTCCTCCAGGGTGCAGAGAAGCGAGGACTGTGACTCGTTCAGTCGTGCCGAGTGTGAGAACCTAGACAGTTTGAAACATTTCTCTGTGAGCTGTGACACGTGAGCATTTTTTCTTCTTCTTCGATTCTTTCTAATTTCTGTTTCATTGTGTTAATAACAGCTCTGCGTCTAGCTGTCAAATGAGGAGTTGGCGCAGGCCCAGCAGCCGCAGGATCTTTCAGACTCCAGGCTGGATATGTCACCGCTTCCATCAGCGGCGGCTCCCGCTGCCCGAGGCCCCACTCCTTAGCAGGGCTGACGGGACTGCTCAGGATTTAGCCTGGCCATCTGGTAGTAACTAGCCCCTTGGTGCCCACAACCCCCAGCCCCACGCCCCGCCCCCAGCACACCCTCCTCTGCAAGGAACTGCCGTTGCCTGGGAGCACTCACTCACGCCCTCTCTCCTCCAAGCCTTTGCCGGGCTGTCTCCTCCCAGGAGCAGCGGCCTCCCCGACCCAGCTGTCTCCCAGGCAGCCTCCCTGCCTCCAGCAGGGGGCACTTCCTCCAGGAGGCCTTTCCTGGACCCTCCTGGACTCCTGGGCTTACCCATCAAGACAAAGGATGCTCACCAAATAATTGGTAGAAAGGAAAAAGATTTGAAATCGGCTATCAGCTGATAGGGAAGAAAGTTAAATAAATAATGGCATGTCTATTTGATGTATGACCATACAAAATACTTCCAAACATTGAAAGAAGATAAAAGAATATTAATGGGCGTCACTCCATATAAGAACTCACAGTGCATGCAATGTGTTCCCTTTCTATAAATTATGTGCACAAGGTGTGTGTGATATCTGTATGCATGTCTTATATATGCTCACGGA